TGCTAATCCTCCTCTTTTTGCTGAGGAAGACCGGCTCTGAGCTAACATCTATTGCCAATCCTCCTCCTCTATTCCACAAAGCCCCAGTAGATAGTTGTATGTTATAGCTGCACATCCTTCTAGTTGCTGTAAGGGGGACGCTGCCTCAGCATGGCCCAACAAGCAGTGGGTCGGTGCGCGCCCAGGATCCGTACTTGGGCCGCCAGTAGTGGAGCGCGCACACTTAACCGCTAAGCCACCGGGCTGGCCCCAGGATTCACTCTTAGTGTTACACATTCTATGGATTTTGACAAATGTATAATGATATGTATCCACCATTAGTATCATACGGAGTAGTTTCACTGCTCTAAAATCCTCTGTGCATCACCTATTCATCCTGCCCTCCCCCCAACCCCTGGCAACCACTGAGCTTTTTTACTGACTCCATAGCTTTGCCCTTTCCAGAACGTCATATAGTTGGAATTAGACAGTATGTAGACTTTTCAGATTGGCTTCTTTCACTTAGTGATATACATTTAAGGTTTCTCCACGTGTTTTCCCGACTTGATAGCTCATTTCTTTTCAGCACTGAATAATATTCCATTGTCTGAATGTACCATAGTCTATTTATCCATTCACCTATGGAAGGACATCTTCGTTGTGTCCAAGTTTTGGCAATATGAATAAAGCTGCTATAAATATCCATGTGCATGTTTTTGCGTGGACATGTTTTCAGCTCACTTGGGTAAATGCCAAGAAGTGTGATTGCTGGATCATACGGTAAGAGTATGTTTCCTTTTGTAAGAAACCGCTAAACTGTCTTCCAAAGCGACTGTACCATTTTGCATTCCCACCAGCAATAAATGAGAGTTCCTGTTGCTCCACGTCCTCATTAACATTTGATTTTTCAGCATTTTGGATTTTTTGCCATTTTAATAAGTGTGTGGTGGTATCTCATTGTTGTTTTAATTTGCAATTTTCTAATGACACATGATGTTGAGCATCTTGTCTTATGCTATTTGCTATCTGCACATCTTCTTTGGTGAGGCAGCTGTTTAGATCTTTTGCCCATTTTTTAATTGAGTTGTTTGCTTCTCGTTGTTGAGTTTCAAGAGTTTTTTGTATATTACGGATAACAGTCCTTTATCAGATATGTCTTGTGCAAATATTTTCTCCCAGTCTGTGGCTTGTCTTCTCATTCTCTTGTGCATCTTTCATTTTTAATTTTATAAACTCTGTGTTGTTTAAATTTTTTCAATGACCATAATAACTTTAAAGACAGTTTTATTGAGATATGATTCACATACCATACAATTCACCCACTTAAAAGTGTACAATCCAGTGGTTTTAAGTATCTTCACAGAATTGTAAAACCATAACCACAATCTAATTTTAGAATATTTCATCACCCACAAAAGAAACCATGTGCCCATTAGCAATCACACCTCATTCCCTACCACCACTACCCCCAGCCCTAGGAAACCACTAATCTACTTTGTGTCTCTATAGACTTACCTATTCTGGACATTTCATACAAATTAAATCATATACTGTGTGCCGTTTTATAACTGGTTTCTTTCACTGACCTAGTGTTTTCAAGGTTCATCAATGTTATAGCATGAATCAGTGCTTTCTTCCTTTTTATTGCTGAATAATGTTGTATGGCTACATCATATTTTATTTATCCATCAGTTGATTAACATTTGGGTTGTTTTCACTTTTTGGCTATCATGAAGAATGCTGCTATGGACATTCGCACGCAAATTTTTGTGTGGACATATGTTTTCATTTCTCTTGGGAATAGACCTAGGAGTAGAATTGCTGGGTCACATGATAACTCTATATTTAACATTTTAAGGAACTGCCAAACTGTTTTCCAAAGCAGCTGTACCATTTTACATCCCTACCAACAATGTATATAACTTTTGAAGTTAAACAGATGCTCTTTTTGAAGAACCCTAGCACAGTTTCAGGTAGAATATAGTAGGTCTTCGGTAACTGTTGAATGGAAGAATGAGTGGGTGGTTTGAGTCAGGAGAGGAGAAGGACAGAATATAGGAAATAGGGTGGGAGATGGGTGAGCCCTTGACGGTAACCTTCACTACAGCTCCAGCTGGCCAGGCCCCTCTGAGCCCCATGTGATTCCCAAACAGGATCAACCAAGTCCTTCTGAGCCTGAGATTGACCTGGAGGCTCTCATGGAACTATCCACAGAGGAGCAGAAGACTCAGTTGGAGGTAGAATGGGGGGCTGGATCCCAGCCCCAGGGGTTGGGGGATGGAAGCTGGGGTTGGACTAAGGGGAAACCAGGAACCCAGGCTCTGCCTGTTTGAGTGGAGTGGGGAGAACCAATTCAGAGGAGAGAGTTCCTGGGAGACTGAGTGGGGTTTGTGGGAAAGTGCTGTGGCTCAGGGACCCATTTCTCTGCTCTCTTCTACCCAGGCTATTCTCCAAAACTGCCCCCGCCCCACAGAGGTAAGGATGCTCTGCCAGTCTAGGGGTAAGAGGAGGCCCAGTGGGGAGGTGGCTAATGAAAGGAAAGTGTGGACCTGGGTCCTTCTCCCCTTCCCTGGCTCTGGGGGAATGGGGTTGGGGGAGATTAGGGAGGGCAGCGTGGTGGGTGAGTATGACTCCATGTCTTGATCTCATCCCTGTTTCTCTCTCAGCCTTTTATCTCTGAGCTACTTGGTGAACTCAAGAAACTCCAGAGACTCAGTCGGCCTCAGAAATAAGCCTTGTGAGACTACTTTCAGCAGCCTCAGCACTGCCAGGCCTGCTCTGAACCTCTGGATTCCAGGCTGCAAGGGAAATGGCTCCTTGGGACACAGACAAGGAATGTGGAGGATGAGGAGGGACATTTGGACACCGCTGGTGTTTGTGCAGTCACAGTTAGTTCCTGTCAGCTGGGCTTTCTGGGAACCAGTCATGGCTGTTGCCCAGTGCTTTCCTTGGCAGCCAAGTGGATAAAACCTTTAGAAGCTCCAGCTGAATGGAGTGTGGAGCATATCTGTGCTGAGGGATGGGGAGGGAGAGGGTGAAGTGATATAGCAGAAGGCAAGCACCCTGAGTCACTAGGCTCTATCCGTACACCTCATCCATCCATCCATCCATCCATCCATCCATCCAACCAAAAAGACCTTGAGAATTCAAAGATGAAGGTCACAGTTCTGCTTCAGCGAGATCATAATCTACCAAGGCCCAGAGACCAAGCAGCAGGCACTTGGCTAAGACACAGCATCCTGGCATCACCAACAATAGGAGCCCAAGTGGCAAAGACTAGTTCTGAATCCCAGAAAAGAGGTAACAGGAAGAACCTAGCTGGGTCTGGGGGCATCAGGGAAAGCTAAACCCTCCTTCCTCCCTAAATGATGCAGGAGGCCTGAAGCTGAAGACTCCTTCTTGAGCTGGCTCCAGCCAGAGGCAGGAAGAGAATAAGCAGGGGCTAAGCAGAGGGGTGTCAAGGGTACAGGCTGAGGGGTCAGGAGGAGTTGCTGGAAACAGACACTGGGTCTGAATGGCAGGCAGGTTGGGACAGGGGCCCTGGCAGGCGGCATCCTTTGGGAGTAAGGCTCAAAGCAGGGTATGCATTCATTGTTTGTGCATGCAGTGTTTGATTATTAGAGAGGCTGAGAAATCCAAGATGGTGGGGCCTGGGCGCTAAGCTGGGCTGCCCAGAGCAGGAAGCACAGTCCAGTTCAGTTTAATGAATACTCATGCCTACTGCATATGAGGCCACCAGGATGGGTGGGACTGTTCCTGCTTGGAGAAGCTCTCAGGATGGCTCAACGTTTTTCCTCACCCCACTTGGTTTTTCCTCGCCAAGACTGGCCTACTCTGCTCTTGCCACCTCTCAAGGGCCCACAGGATTTTAGAGATAAGAGATGCTGGGTCCAAGGAATCAACACACTTTATTAGATCCACTAAGTGTCAGGGGAGGGCCCTGGGCCCTTGAGCAGGTTTCAAGGCTCATACTTAGATTCAGTCTGGTCTTTCTCCATCCTGCCTCTCCCTCCCAGTCCAGGTTTCACTGCTGGAGGGCTCCCGACTTCTGCCTTCCCTCTGGCTCCTCCAGTCATCATCTCGAATGGAGAATCTTTCCTCCTTCCAGGGACACCACGACTCAGGAAAGGAGGCATCCATGAGCAGTCTAGCCTGACATGCTCTCCCATCAGATGCCCTGAAGCTGGGCCCAGAGTGGGCACCCCAGCCTGTGCAAATGCCTGTAGGATTGCCTTCCCACGACGACTAGGGTTTCCTCAGTGCTCTGGGTCTGCATGCAGGGGGCGGTAGGCAGATGTCTGGTGCTCTTTAAGTTCAAAGGCGTCATGGCCTTCCCTGTGGAGCACAGATACAGGTCAGGAATCACAGGCAGCCCTGGAACCCTCTCAGTCTCACAGAACATTCTACCTGCACCTACCGGAAGCAGCGGGCACAGTAGAGGTCTCCGTTGCAGCCAGCACAGCGCAGGGTGGCGTCCTCATTGCAGATGCAGCACCAGGGGAGCTCCTCTTCCTCAGCTTCAGGCCTGGGGGCCATGGCCTGGGCCTTCAGGGACCAGAAAGGCATGGGGAGAGTAAGGTACCCAATGGGGTAGGGGAGGGCTGCTGCAGGAAGAGCCGGCCAGGCAGGCTGTGGTGGCGGCCTGGGGGTCTGTGTCTGGGGCTTTTCTCACCTCAGGCTCTGCCCTGTGGGATGGGGCCCGGGGTCGAAGAGTTGGCTCCGCAGGAATGTTAAAGCCACTTGCCTCATCCAGGGCAGCTTCTTCAGTGAGCTGTGGAGAGGGCGAAGAGGTACAGCTCCCTGCTCCAGGCCCAGGCCCAGCGCCCCCATCTCCCGTATTTATTTGCTCTGTGGCCTTAGCTTCTCAACCCATCTTCCTTTATCTGTTGCCTGTGAGTGCTGATACCTGATCTCAATGGGCCAAGGGGCAGGTCTGGGTCACAGGGACGGTAGGGCCCAGCTAGAACAGGAGCTACACAGTGACCGGCCATCTGGCCTCAGAGCAGAGGCAAGATGAACGGGGCCAGGTGGGTGGTGGGGCAGTGAGGCAGACAGGACCAGGGGTAGTTGGTGGGTGAGGTAGGCCCCACCTGCTGCAGGACTCTCTGGATGGCTGTCTCCTCATCCTCGTCGTCATCACTGTCTGGGAGGCGGTAGTCCTGAAGGGTCACTTGGAGAGGGAGAGATGGGAGCAGGGGAGGAGTGAGGCTGAGAGAGTTCACCTGAGCAGCTGTACTCTTGCCCCCAGAACTGGATGGGTTTCCAGTGGCACTTTTTCCAGAGCTGAGCAGCTCTGCAGCCACTCTGATCAGACCCTGCCCCTCTGTGTCCCACTCTGCAGGGCTGGGGGGCAGGAACAGAAGGCCCTGCACCTGAAGGGACTGAGGGTCCCCTGTCTCCTGATGGCTGCCACTTATTCTTCATCCATTGCTTTGCCCGAGTACCTTCCTAGTGACTCTGGGCAGAGCTCGATGGACCCCTGGGCACAGCGACCTAGGCACCTGACTCAGCCTAGCAGGGAGTGCAGCCATTTTGCAGAGCTTGGCCTGGGAGTGGGAATGGTAGTGGGGGGCTGCTCCCCAGCCTCTACCTTTATCAGGGTCCTGTCCCTGCAGCACGGCCAGGCGCTTGGCAAGGGCCAGTATTCGCTCCTGCCTCGTGTTTTCCTGGCGCAGCTCGACTGCTGCCTCAGCCAGCAGCCTGCTCTTCTCCTCCTCCAAGGACCAGGTGGTCTGCCTCTTAGAATTAGTGCTCTGGTCCCCTGGGCCACCCTGGTTGAGGTCGTTCTGGATCAAGGCAGCTGGAAGAAGCAATGCAGTCAGGGAAGCAGAGACATTCCAGCCACTCATCAGAAACCACTGAGCCCATTTCTCAACTTTTTTAAAAAAACATAGATTATCAGCTTTTTGTTCAGCACTAGCTCCTGTGGTTTATATTATAAGGAAAATGAGCATTTCCTCCATTTTTCCGAATGTAAAAATCTAGTAATCTTAGACATGTTTTTTTCAACCACATCCATCTCCACCCACTTGATATTGTAACATGCTGCCCTTAGGGTGGGCATCCATGGTATGAGAATCACTGCCTGAAAGGATCAGGATATGGGGAAGCCAAGGTTCAGCCAGTCTCTCTGCCTTACAGGTTGGAGGCATCTTCAGGGAGCAGCAGAGAGAAGACAGGAGGGAAACTGAGGTCTTGTATGTCAACTAGGCGGAAAGAATTTTACCAGAGTGGATGTGGCTCTGACATGGTCCCCTTTAGCTCAGAGTTTCAGAGCAAGAGATTTGAAATCAGATAGCTTTGGCTTTAAGTCCCAGATCTGCGCTTAATAGCTGTGTGACCTTGGTTAAGTTCCTTAAGCTCACCAAGCCTCAGTTTCATCATTTTATTAAATATGGATAATAATAGTAGGTACCTCATTGGATTACTGAGGATATTCAATGAGATTGTGTCTCTAAAGCAGGGTTTCTCAATCTCGGTTCTATTGACATTTTGGACAGGATAATTCTTTGTCGGAGGGGCTGTCTTGTGCATTGTTAATTTTATTTATTTATTTATTTTTCCCCCAAAGCCCCAGTAGATAGTTGTATGTCATAGTTGCACATCCTTCTAGTTGCTGTATGTGGGACGCGGCCTCAGCATGGCCAGAGAAGCGGTGCGTCGGTGGGCACCCGGGATCCGAACCCGGGCCGCCAGCATCGGAGCGTGAGCACTTAACCGCTAAGCCACGGGGCCGGCCCTGTCTTGTGCATTGTTTAGCAGCATCCCTGGCTTCTGCTCACTAGATGCCAACGGTACCATCTGAGTTGTGACAACCAAAGTCTCCAGATATTGCCAAATGGGCCCTGGAGGGAAAATCATCCCTGGCTGAGAACCACTGCTCTGAAGCCTTTGAACAGCACTGTCTGATAGAATTTTTATGATGATGGAAACGTTCCATATCGTGGTCTGTATCTGTGCTGTCCGAGATGGTAGCCATGAGCCACATGTGGCTACTGAGCACTTGAGCACTGAGGAGCTGATTTTTAAATTTTATTTAATTTTAATTAATTTTAAATAGTCTCCTCCTCCTTATCATCATCATCAATGCAGAGAACATTCACTGAGCACGTCCTGTGAGCCAGGCAGGGTCCTAAGCACTTATTAAATTATCTCATTTACTCCTCAGGACTTCCCCAGGAGGTGGGTGTTACCACACACATCTCCATTTTACAGATGAGGAAAGTGAGACTTAGATAGGTCAAGTAACTTGCCCAGGGTCACACAGCTAATAAGTGGTGGAACTGGGAATCACTGTCTGATTCTGGAGCCTACACTTATCCACTAGGCTTACACTGGCTCCCGTTAGAGTAAAGACTCAATAAATGGTAGCTCTTATAATGTTTATTGTTCTCTGATTTATATGCACCTCCCAGAGGGTGGGCAGCAGAGCCTCTCCCACCTGGGGAAAGAGGTGGGGCAGGTCCCTGGGCGAGCCAGGTGGAGGGGTTACCTGGGCCTCCTTGTTCCGAGCTCTTATCAATAGCCACTTCAGCTGCCAGCTGTGTCAGCAGATCCTGTGCCTGCTGGTCCTGGGTCCTGGTGTCTGGTGGCTGATGTGCCTGTTCAGAAGAGGGAATCTCAGTCGGGAGTGGGGTAGGGGGAAGCCACACTGTAAGCCCCAGAGCAGTCTAGGTCAGGGGTGGATGTTGAGGAGATCTCAAAGCTCAGAGAAAGTGGACTAATCCAGGGCCCACATGATTGAGTAGGTCTGGCAGTCTCCAACAGCACCGAGGGGCCACTCTTTCCTGCCCCACCCAATCCTGCTGCTTGCTCCTCGTTCTCTGGCCTGGCAGGAGGCCTGAGGATCAGGAGAGGGGCACGTGGGTGGGAGGCTTTGCCAACTCCTGCAAAGTACATAAGCATACATGGATCTGGGCTTCTTCTGGGTCCTAGGACCCCCTTCCCTCCCAAGCCATAGCACTCACCAGCTGGGGTGTCTGAGAAGGTGGAACTCTGCCCTGCAACGCAGCAAGCCGTGCCTCCATTTCCTGGGTGGAAGGTATGGGACCCCGGGGTTCATCCCTCAGCGCGGCTAGCCTGGCTTCTATCTCTGCCAGTGAGGGCACTGACTCTGCAATTGGCATGGGGGAACCTTGTAAGATCCAGAGAAATCCCAGTCCCTGGAGCCCTGGATGGTGTCCTTTAGGCCACCCTGCCTACCACCACTCACTGGGCTTGTTCTCCTGGCGGAGCCGTGCTAGGCGCTCAGCAATGACTTCATCTTGTTGGGTCAATCCCCGGCTCCGTGGAGTGCTGGGCTTCTGCTTGGCTTCCAAGGCTGCCACACGCCTGGCAGGATGAGATAGAGGCTCTTGAAGAAGGCAGAAGGGAGGGGTGAAGGCACCCACTCACTCTTTCCCACTCAAATCATTTCTAGGCATCTAGGGAAGCCTCCAATGGACAATGTTCTCTAGTCTTCACTCATGTCGCCCTGCAGCCCAACCCAGCTGACCAGCTGGAGGGTCCAGCTGACAGGGCAAGGTCTACTAAGAACCTTTTCTGCCAGGCCGGCCCTGTGGCTTAGCGGTTAAGTGCGTGCGCTCCGCTGCTGGCGGCCCCGGTTCAGATCCCGGGCGTGCACTGACGCACCGCTTCTCTGGCCATGCTGAGGCCGTGTCCCACATACAGCAACTAGAAGGATGTGCAGCTATGACATACAAATATCTGCTGGGGCTTTGGGGGAAAAAATTAAAAAAAAATAAATAAATAAAATTATTAAAAAAAAAAAGAACCTTTTCTGAGGAGAGGGCTGATGAGCTGCTTTCTGAGTCCAAGGGGGCATTCAGGAGCCTGAGAGGCAGAAATTCTCCTGACTCTGTGCCCATTTGATCTAGAGGCTGGGAAGAGAGTCCTACCGTATGGCTCCCTTGTCCTTTCCCCATCCCCATTTGTCTCTGTCCCCTCAGCACTTACTTCTTATAGTTCTGAGGTGGTGACCACTTGGAGGCACTGCCAGGAGAAGATCCTCTATAGAGAAGAAGTCTGGTGTCAGAAGTCCTGCCATCCACCAGCCAGTGTCCCCCACCCCAAACACTTCCTGGGCTGACCTCTAGCCACAGAGCACAAGGCTGTAAAGGCTGGCCAGCAGCCCACTGCCATGCTTGGCTGAGTCTGTGCCCATGTTGGCTTCTCACCTGGTCAGGACTTCGTGGCACTGCTTGCAGACTTTCTGTTGGGTGTTTCCAGCCCGAGGCACCACTGCACTGAAGCTAAGGCAGCCAGAACAGAAGGCCCGGCCACAGTTCTTACAGCCATACTACAAGAAACACGAAGCAGGGGAATCTACCTCTCACCCACCCCTACAGGCTCCTCCCTGGGACTCTCCAAGCACACACAGAGAGAAGACACTGCAGTTGTGACCAGGTGCTGGGAAGAGGATGAGAAGGGGCCCCTAAGGCCTAGGGAGAGACAGAGGTGGAGGGTAAAGTGATTCCTCTATCTCCAGTCTTTACTTGATTCAAATCAAGTAAAGCTTCATTCCCATGCTTTTTACCCTGTCTTCAATTTCCTGACACTGGGGTGTAGAAAAAAAACAGGCAAAGCCCCATGCTTCGGGTCACTGACTCTTCAACACAGGAGAATCATAGAGTGCAGAGCCCACGCCTTCTCTGCTCTAGCAGAGATGGAGGAAGGCTTGGCTCAGGATGAGATGGTAACAATAGCCTCCATTTATTAAGCACTTACTGTGTGCCAGGCACTAAGCTCAGTACTTAACATTCATCATCTGACTTAATCCTCACAATTTACACACGCTATTTTACTTAATCCTGATGACCACCATTATTATTCCTATTTTAGATGGAGTCTAAAAAGAGGTTATATGACTTGCCCAAACCAAGGTCATTTGGTGAATAAGACAGCAGAGCTCAAATTTGAACCCTGACCACCTTGACTCCAAAACTCAGGTTTCTAAATGCCACACGGATCTGCCTCCCAACCTGCTATTCATTCATTCTATTTGGTGCCTATCTCTTGGTCACAACTGAGGCAGAGAAAGCCTGCAGTTTACCACGGGGACTTGGGGGGGTCTATGCTGAGGACAAAAGAGACTTTGCCATGGTGCCCTGAGGGCAGGAGGAAGGCAGTTGGTAACCTAACTCAAGAAACCTGGTAAGGGCAGGCTGCATGATGGTGAAGGTTTCAGAGCAGAGTACAGGCATGGCATGATGGAGAGTGGTCACAGGGTATGAACTAAGATAGGGCTGCGGAGGAGCAGGGTGGAAGTAAAGAAACAGCCGGATCCTCCACTTCGCAGATAGAAAAGCCTAGCTTTCCAAAAACGACAGGAGCACACTTTACAATTTATAGGGAACTTTTACCTCCAGCACCTCACTGGACCCTCACACCAACTCCTAAAGCGAGAGAGTGTTAGCACCATTTTACAGAAATGGAAACAGAGGCTCAGTGACTTCATCAAAACCACACAGCTGGAAAGGGGCGTAAAACCAAGTCTACAGAATGCAAGTCCTATGCTTTTCCCTTCACTCCGCTCCTCCCTAGCCCTCTAGCCCCCGAGGAGAGAAGACTCGCCTCCTTCTTGAAGAGGGTGAACTTGACAGCGCAGCCATAGCACCTACTCTCCATCCTGGTTCCTGGCGCGGCGCGGCAGGATCGGCAGTATTGAGATCGCACTCACCGGGTCCAGAGCCCCTTGGACCTTCGCCGAGCCCCGCCCCTGCCCCTCACACCCACTCGCGCGCGCCAGCTACGGCCTCTGGCAGGGGAATGGCGACCCGCCACCCCAGCTGGAGAGCGGCAACGCGGCGTGGGGGCTGCTGGGAGTCGTAGTTCATTCATGACTACCCGCTTCCCTCAGACGCAGTCAAGCCTGACCCAGAACACGACATTTCCCAGGGGGCTAAGCGTCATTTAGCCGGCACGGGGCCGACGGTCCCCGGGAATCCCCACGCACGCTTAGACTCTTGGGAGTTGTAGTACGAATTCAGTCAGGGTTGGAGCCATGGCGGTGGCCAAGGAGCTGTTACAGATGGACCTGTACGCGCTGCTAGGTATTGAGGAGAAGGCGGCGGACAAAGAGGTGAGAACGGTTGGCGAGGAGGGCCGGTTCCGAGCGGCGGCCTGGCGGCCCTTCCTGTCTAGGCGCCTGGCCCGCGGCTGGCACCCGCCTTCCAGGTTCGGCCGGGCCCTAGGCGGGGAGCGAGGGGTGGGCCGAGGGCCTCAGAAGGCGGGCCCGCAGAACTTTTCTGGATGGTCTGAGGGCCTCACAGGAGGGAGGCTCCTTGGCTGAGGTACCGCGGTGTCCCTGTGGCTCTTGTCTAGGAGAGGCCGCGGGGTGAGCCTGGGAAGGAACGCTAGCCTCCTCCTTGCGCCTGCGCACTGGCAGACTCTTGTTTCGTTTCTGTCTTGACTGTGGCTGCAGGGTGCTTGATTCGTCTCTCCTGCAGGCTGATTTAACTCCGCTGAGAGCCTAGGGCAGAAGAAAGGCCAGGTCTCAGGGGTCCTCCACTCCCTTTTCATCTCCTTCTTGGCATTGTTACCTATGACTCTGCCGTCTCTGTGTTTTATCCACCCCAGCCCATTGACTCTTTTCGAGTAGCAGATGCTCAAGTGTTGCCTTCTCAACATGTGCTAGTGGGCCAAAAGCAGGAGGATCAGAAGGGTAAGGCAGATGACTTGGAGTTCCACAGGAAGGTGTTGATAAATGTGCCAGGGAGTGGGACACTGATCAAGCTGTAATTAAGATTTCTATCTTCTCCTGGATCACAGTGGTAGTTGTAGTGATGTAGGAAGGGAAGGCAGATAATTCATCAGATTAAAATGCATGCCTACGAATGCCCCTGTACTTCCAGGCTGCTCTGTTCATGGGTTGAGTGAGCTTGTGAGAAGCAGCAGCTCAGGGAGACCCATAGGGCCCTTGAGGAGGGTGCTGGCAGCCTGCTCAGAACTGTCGTCTGCAGCTGCAGCTGCAGCTGCAATCAGAAGTGGGCCCTGGGCATGTGTACAGAGCACCAAAAGCATCTGCTACACCTGTCTTAGAAGTCTTAAAATTTCAGTATTAGTAATGCCTAACACCTATATAATGCTTACTCTGTGCTGGGCACTATTCTAAGTGCTCTACATTTGTAAATTGTTTAATTAGTACTTTATTAATAGGAGAAATTACTTTGGACATGTGTTGTAATTGTGAAGTATGTTGGAACTCTGAAAGTGAGAACTCTTGAGAAAGGCAATTGTGAGCCCTTGATGTATATATTAATCAGAGAAGTGACACAATGAGATTTTAGAGAAAATATTCAGCATCAGTATGCAGAATGGATACGAGTGGAGGATGGATAGAGGAGCTACCACTAGTGAATCAGGTGGGACTGTTATCTAGGCAAGAGACCAAGGTCTAAGCAGGGCAGTGTGGTTGGGATCCAGTTTTCACTCAGATGAGATGAGGGATATGTGAGAAAGCTCTTTACAAAGAGTAACAGGTGCTGCTCCATTTAGTAGGGGAAGCACAACTTTGTAATACTAGGGAGAGTGTGGTCAGTTCCTTAAGAGGAATACAGACAGAGTGCTGTGGATGTTCAGAGTAGGCTGAGGTAGCTTCTAGTTTGGGAGAAGGGGTGGGGGAGATAGAGAAGGCATTTGAAGCCTTGAAGAATAGGCAGAGTTTGGATGTGTGGAGATGGAGGAAGTGTATTCTGAGAAAGGGGAGAGTGGGTACAGTCCAGGTTGTGTGGAGCATAGGCCAAAAAGAAAGAGTAAAAGAAGATAAACCTTGAAAAGTAGGTTGGGGCCTTGTCATATTCTGTAGGGCCACCTGGAGGACCAACAGATATTTAAAGCATATACAAGGAAAGCCTCCTAAACTTTGGTTGTCTGATCATGTAGTCTAGGAGTTCTTAATTTGGGGTCCAAAGAAAGGTGCCAAGAATTGAATAAACCCCTGAAATCGTATATATATATATATATTTATATATACATTTTTTGTGTATTCATTTTTGAGGAGAGGAGGTAATTCTTATCCAAAAAAAGTTAAAGAAACTCTGCTCTAGGCCAACCTCCTGTGTTACTGATGGTAAAACTGAAGCTCAGAGAGGGTGGTTAGTGATAGAATTGGGACTAGAACTCAGACCCCCTGATGCCCAGCCCAGGTCAGTGCTCCTCGCACTGTGTCACTCTGGCCCTGTCCAGCACCATACAGCTCGGTGGTAGTGATGAGCACCAACATCGTTCAGACCACTTCTCTGAATCCCAAATCTGTATAACCATCTACCTATTTGATGTCTCTGTTTAGATGCTTCACAGGAGTCTAAATCTTACGATATCCAGAATTGAACTGGAAATTCTCTCTCCAGACCTCCTCCTTCCTTGGACTTCTCCATCTCAGTAAACAGCACCAGTGTCCATCCACTTGAGCTAGGAACCTGGAGTCATTCCTGACACCTCCCTATCCCCTCACTCCTGCCCTCTAGTCCATCACTAGGTCCTAATGAGTCAACCTCCCTAATAATTTTCAAACCTGTTCACTTATCTCCATCTCCACCACCACCACTCCAGCCCAAGCCCCCATCAACTTCCATCTGAACAGTTAGAGTAGTCTGCCAGCTTGTCTCCCTGCTTCCAATCTATTCTATTTTGATCTGTTGTGCTCCTCCAATCTCTTCTCACAGAAAATGGAATGATCTTGGTACTCTCTTAAAATTCTATTGCCGATGCCGGCCCCGTGGTGTAGCGGTTAAGTGCTTGCACTCTGCTGCTGGCGGCCCGGGTTCAGATCCCGGGCGTGCACCGACCACTTGTCAGGCCATGCTGTGGCGGTGTCCCGTATAAAAGTGGAGGAAGATGGGCACGGCTGTTAGCCCAGGGCCAGTCTTCCTCAGCAAAAAAAGAGGAGGATTGGCATGGATGTTAGCTCAGGGCTGATCTTCCTCACCAAAAAAAAAAAAATTCTATTGCACTTTTAATAAAATACTCAGTAGAGTTTCCTCTAGTTTCCTACCCGTTCATACATGCTTTTTCCTCAGCCAAGAATGCTCTTCTTCCCCTTCCATTAATCTGGATTACTTTTACTTTTCCTTCAGAACTTAGCTTAAATGGCACTTCCTCAGAAAGGTCTTGCCTATTATTCTATTTCATGGCAGCCAGTTCTCCTTTCCAGCACTTATTTTGGTTTGCAGTTATGTATTCATTTGTGTGATTATTTGCCTCATGCCTTACTCCCCTCTGTAAGGGAAGTAGACCTGGGAGCCCTGAAGAGCAGATCTGGTCCGTTCACTTCTGTAGCAGCCCCCTCCTTGGTGACTGGCACAGAGTAGGCTCTCATAAATATCTGCTGAATGAATCAAGTAGCGGCTACAGAGACCACTGGGACAACTTGACTTAAGAATCAGGAGACCTGGGGCACTGCCCCACTCAGGGCCTGATTTTCCTCAAAGGTAAAATGAGGAAGTTGGGCAAACTATGGCTTCAGGAGTCAAATGGCTCATATCTGTTTTTTTAACGGCCCAGGAGCTAAGAATGGTTATTACATGTTTCAAGGATTGTAAAAAAACAACCACCACTCAACAACAAAAAAAACAACCTGATTTAAAAATGGGCAAAGGACTTGAACAGACATTTCTCCAAAGAAGATATATAAATGGCCAATAAGTACATGAAAAGATGCTCAATACCGCTAGTCATTAGGGAAATGCAAATCAAAACCATAGTGAGATACCACTTCACACCCACTAGGATGGCTATTAAAAGAAAACCCCAGAAAGTAGCAAGTGTTAGCGAGGATGTGGAGAAATTGGAACCCTTATGCATTACTAGTGCTGCAGCTACTGTGGAAAACAGTATGGTGATTCCTCAAAAAATTAAACATAGAATTACCATCTGATTCAGCAATTTTACTTCTGGGTATATACCCCAAAGAAGTGAAAGCAGGGACTCAAACAGATATTTGTACATCTTTGTTCATAGTAGCATTATTCACAATAGCCAAAAGGTGGGAGCAACTCAGGTGACCGTCGACAGATGAATGGATAAGGAAAATGTGATATATACATGCAATGGAATATTATTCAGCCTTAAAGAGGAAGGAGATTCTGATGCTGTTACAACATGGATGAAACTTGAAGACATATGGTAAGTGAAATAAGCTAGTCACAAAAGGACAAATATTGTATGATTCCTCTTATATGAGGTTCCTAAAGTAGTCAGATTCATAGAGACAGAAAGCAGAATGGTGGTTGGCAGGGGCTGGAGAGTGGGAGTGGAATGAGGAGTTGTTTAATTGGTACAGAGTTTCAGTTTTACAAGATAAAGAGTTCTGGAGGGCCAGCCCCATAGCTTAGTGGTTAAGTGCGAGTGCTCCGCTGCTGGCGGCCCGGGTTCGGATCCCGGGTGTACACCGATGCACCGCTTGTCCAGCCATGCTGAGGCGGCGTCCCACATACAGCAACTAGATGTATGTGCAACTATGACATACAACTATCTACTGGTGCTTTGGGGGAAAAAAAGGAGGAGGATTGGCAATAGATGTTAGCTCAGAGTCGGTCTTAGCAGAAAAGAGGAGGATTAGCATGGATGTTAGCTCAGGGCTGATCTTCCTCACACACACACACACAAAAATAGTTAAAATGGTAAATTTTATATCTCTTTTATGTTAAATATATTTTACAATAAAAACAAACGAACAACCAAACCAAAACAAAGAAGAATGTGTGACCAAGACCGTATGTGGCCCCCTAAAATTTTTGCTGTCTGGCCCTTTATGGAAAAAGTTTGCCCACGCCTGCTAGAATTAGGGACAAGTCCAACTTCACGTTTCTGTACGTGGAGCTAGCACTTCTGCAAATGCTTTCCTCTCACAACAAACCTCAGAGGCCCAGAACTGGGCTAAACACCACCATTCATGGAAATTTAGGGAGTCAGCAATTCCCAAAGATGACATTTTTCTTCCCCTTCCAGCCCTAGAGGAGATAGGTAGGCGAAGGTGTCATTTGCTTGTAAAAGCCTTGAGTTGAGGACCTGGATTTGGTATGGAAGTGCTCCTGGGGAGAGTATCATGCTCCGGGGAATCCAGTCTCCTGCTAGAAGCTG